AACAGAAAAGAGGTAACTCTCCCATCAAATATGACCCTGACTCTATCCATATTTCAGGCAGGTGTGAATTGTAATTATTTTAATTAATCACTTAATCGCTCCTCCCAATCAGCAAAAACACATCATGGCTGAGCGCAACGTGCTGCTGAAGAATGTGAAACACCCTTTCCTGGTCGGGCTCCATTATTCCTTCCAGACCACAGACAAGTTGTACTTCGTCTTGGATTTTGTCAATGGAGGAGAAGTGAGTCGTTTCGGATTTGTGAATAATGTGCTCGCGCAGAAATGAGTCATGAGTTCGAGAAGAAGCTGAGAATTGCAGTAATACAGGAAGTTTGTATGACATAGCTTTAATAAGAGCAGCACTGTTGCTGGTTAGCACACCTCCGTGTGTGAAGATCCCCTCAGAGATCACGACATCACTGAAGACACACCGAGTGTGACTTCCTCTGTACATCTCATCAAGTGTGATCGGCCTTTTTAAAGCTGCCATGTGTGACTGACTGTGTGAGAGTGACTCACTACGATCTGCATCCCAGTAAACCTTTCCCTTCTGAATAAGAGAACTACAAAGACCGGTAACATGTGAATGAAATCAGATCAATATTTACGCTTTCTGCGTGGAGATTAAAAAGGTATTATTTTATACATAAAAGGCACTGCAGACATTAAAGTATCTTTGTCACATCATGTTTAAATATTGGATTTCTGCCCTCATTGTGGTACATAGTCCTACAGTACAGTTACCATGTAATTCATTCCAATAATCACTTTTTTTTTTAATTCCAGCTTTTCTTCCATCTTCAAAAAGAGCGGACCTTCCCTGAGCCCAGAGTTAAATTCTACATTGCTGAGATGGCAAGTGCACTGGGATACCTGCATTGTCTCAACATTGTTTACAGGTTTGTTTAATCAAACATGGAATTAGGAGTGTTTTTTTCAGTAACAGGACATGTACATGTGTTCAGTGGTCAAAAAGTCCTTAATCCTGTTTTTGTTATATGTGTGTGACACATGCTGGCCTCACTCACATGATAATGAGTCTTCAAGGCCATAGCAGACTTTTTTAGGGGGTTTTAACGACCTGAAAACAAAAAGTACACTCTACAATTAGACTTGGTGTGTTTTTATTATTTATTTATTTGTTTTGTTATCTGCAAGATTTATATTCCTGACATTATAGAGATGTGCTTGAAGCAGCATTTAGATCTTCATACAGGGACTACAATATAAATAAATGTATATTTTAATAGTTAAAGTAATATATGTATAATAAATTAGGGATATAGGGTTGCAATGGGGTAATTTTTGTACCTGTGTCTCATTTACTGAAATTCATTTATTTGTGTTAATTTCATTTAGAGACTTGAAGCCAGAAAACATCCTCCTTGACCATGAAGTGAGTATTCCTATTATTTAACCAAGTACAATGCTTTGTAATTGATATATAATCACTATAGCAGTAATTTATCTTGAATACACCTGGATGGCACAGCACCTACTTACTTAAAGTTTGATATTACGTTGGACAATACAACACTCATTTAAGACTCTACAGCACAAATGTCATTCTCCTCCGGTCATACTTGTACCACCGGTGAACGACGGTGTCATTTCCAGTTCCAGCTGGACAGAATGCGTGTGATTGGATTAGGTCTCGGTAATGATTTCCCTGCCTGGCCTTATTGAGAAAGTGAGGGAACGGTGAATGGGACTGACTGAGCTACACTGCAGCCAACATTCCGGGGCAACAATAGAATCCTCAGTCCCCGGGGATAATGAGCTGCTTGTGCAGCACATGTTGTCTAAAACCGTCTCTCTCTGTTTGTGTGTCCTCTCTTTTAAAGGGGCATATCGTTTTGACGGACTTTGGATTGTGCAAGGAAGGCATTTCGCAGACAGACACCACCACTACATTCTGTGGAACGCCTGAGGTATTGCAGCCTTGATTTGATTGTTTACATGTAACAATTTTGCACCGGTGGCGTTCCAAAGAAGTCTCACCTTCTGTGTCAAAAGGTAATCATCATTAACAGTCTTTGGAACGTAGTGTGGTTAATGATTAAAGTATGAGTGTAGTCCTTCTTGAGGCTATACTGCTGCCTGTGTAGGGCTATGAGTCACCCTTTCCAGAGAGCAAAATAGGCATTCATGAGCAGTAATAGATGATATACATTTGGTTGGTGTAGCTTCAGCCAGAAGCGAAATGTCTGCGTTATAGTATTGTGTTTGTGTGCTTCTTCTGACCAGTACTTGGCTCCAGAAGTCCTGAGGAAGCAGCCGTATGATAACACAGTGGACTGGTGGTGTCTGGGTTCAGTGCTGTATGAAATGCTCTTTGGACTGGTGAGTTTTTACTCTGAGCACACTTTTTTTCTAAATATCCTAATGCATTGCACTTATTTTTGCAGGAAGTAATTATTATGGTTTTTAGGTAGCTACTTATGCAGACAAAGCTTTTTTAATTTTAACATGATGCACTGGTAAACTGCAGCAAATTACCATTTATTTTAGCACTTAATGTTAGAGAACCTCATTGTACTATCACACTCGCTCACAAGCCTCTACTAGTCTCTTTTTCTTTCATATCCTAGCCGCCGTTCTACAGCCGGGACACGCATGAAATGTACGACAACATCCTCCACAAGCCGTTGGTGATGCGTGCTGGTGCGTCCAGCACCGCCTGGTCTCTCCTCCAGGGCCTGCTGGAGAAAGACGGCACATACAGACTGGGGTCTCGGGACGACTTTGTGAGTGGGAACTGTTCAGCCTGCTAACACTGCTCAGATACAGACACTTTATGTGTAGCACAAGGTTTGGGCTCTCTCTGGTGGCCAATCGGTGTCCATCACATCACAGCTACTAATGCATTACAGATAATCAGTCATTGACTTTTAATCAACTAACTTTCTATGAATAAAATAATGTTTTTTTATTCTACATTTTCAGAATGAGATCAAAGCACACAGCTTCTTCTCCTCCATCAGCTGGGAGGACCTCGAACAGAAGAAGATCCCGCCCCCATTCACGCCAAATGTGGTAAATATTTTTGTTTCTTGTCCAAAAATCAGAACCATACAGGTATTTTACAGTACCATGACTTTTGAAGTCTGTCATATATGTTCCTGGTTTGAACCAAAGACTTGAATGAGCAACTCTCTGATACACTCAACAAAAACAGAACATGACAAACCTCTTTGCAGGCCATTTTCACAGCCGCATTTTGACGTGCCCTTGCAGGATACACACAGGTGTAATTAATAACATTAATTATGGCCCTGCTCCATACAGGTGGGCCAAAGCTCTGGTATTGTGCATGCAGGTTTACTGGAATGGCTGTGACACATTAAACCATCAATTACAGCTGTGAAAAGGGCCTATTATATTTGACTGCACTGTATTTTCACAGGTGTTTCAAGTTAACAGTGGAAATGCCAAATTAAGTAATTATTTTTATAGACTTAATTTCAGTAATGTTGTGAAGTTTTCTCTTTTAAGTTTTAAAACTTATTTTTTCTTCCTTTCTTTATTTGAATGACCATTTATTACATATATTTGGCTCCTTTTATTTATTTTTATTGGCATATAATGCAACACTACAATTATAAAGGGACAGGTATTTTACATATTTTCACAACATTGTCATCCTTAGACCCATATTCCCTCAAACCAGGGCTCCTGTGTGTCCACTAAATAATATCCACCCCACATTCCTCTTCGATGTAATTGACATAGTCTGGCACACATGGAAGAATTGGCAAGTTGAACGTGGAATTAAATTATCACAGAAAAGGCTTTATCCCATTTGAAAGCACTTTGTAAAATAAAGTTGTAACTGCTGTTTTGTTATCAAATTAAGTCATTTTTTTGTGAATACACATGTGTGGTTTGATTTGTATTTATTCCATGAACCCTAATATGACCCACGTTCTCTTCCCCCCCCCCCCCCCCCCCCCCCCAATGTTTTTACAGAGCTCTTACTGTGACATCTCAAACTTTGATCCTGAGTTTACAGATGAGATGGTCCCCAACTCCATCTGCTGGTCTAAAGACTATTCCATAGTCAACGCCAGTGTAATGGAGGCCGACGATGCCTTTGTGGGCTTCTCTTATGCCCCAGCTCCTGATGACTCTTTCCTATGAAACATTCCCAGTGAGGTCCTTGGTTGCCTTAACCATCATAACTTCTTTTGACTAAAGGGAAGAATTTATACCATGGATAACTTGTTCTATGAAGCCAAAGCAAGCAGCTGAGACGAAACCGTACTTAAAACATATTTTGGTTGGAACAAAGAGTGCCAGAAAAGTCTTTATTTTTTACCAATTTGTATTTATATAAATATATAAATATATAATATATATTATAAATATACATGACAGATGATATTTTTAAGAATTAAGGACAGCCAACCTCTATTAATGTTATATCTGGTGGTTTCTAAAATGAGCCTTTTATAAAGCCTTAAATTTGTCCCTTAAATGAAATCAATAAGCAGTTTTCTGAAAAACTTGAACAATTCACTGGACTTAAAATCACACCATTTGACTGTCAGATGGAAGTATGTTTGTCCATGTAATTACTGTAAAAAATATAATTATGTATCGTATTCATTTTAACAAAGCTGGAAATAGGGATTACTTGAGAGACCACTGAGTAAAGCATTTTGGTTTATAGGTCACATTTGTAAAAAGAACAATGTCTTGTACTCCTTCAGTTACCTCTGTTTGTCTTTAAATATTGAGTGCATTTTTTTATTGGATTGTTTGTGTTTATTTTCTTGCTATTCTTTGCCTCAACACATTTATTCTTAACTGCAGAAATTTAAAATCCACAATGCTTTGCTTCGCCTGACAATTAAGTAGGCTTATACTCTTGCACAGTAATAAAATATATCTAAGAAAAATAGTTTGAGTGTCTGTGTATTTAATCATAATTTTAGATTTTGCAATAACTTTGTTTTTGTCTTAATTGAACATTGTGAACAGACATGCAGCAGGTCGACGTTCTTATACAAATTAAAATATGTAAAAGAGGTAGATGGCAATCAAATTAAATGGGAAAAGTAAGTAATTAAATATAAAAGGAATCTATACCTAATGAATAAACAATAATATAACCATGTCGTTCACTTTTCTTTGTCATAATGTATGTACAAATTTATTTCAATAAGAAAAATATTAAAGTTTGAGGACTGAGAACCTTGCATGTGAACTGAACAACTACAAGTATAAGATTTGTTTTTATCTAATACATTATTAAATTATTACATTTAATCGCATATCTGCTGAGTGGTCATCACAGCAACGTGGTTGAAGCTAGCGCCAAAAGATGGTCATCAAACGTAGTCATTCTCGCTTATAGCAGAATACTACTTTCTTACCATTGAGGTTAAAATGTCTGACATGTTGGCCTTAAAAGAATCAGTTCTGATTTATTTAGACAGAAGCGGTGGCCTCCAGAAACTGGCCGAAGATTGTAAACCATTAAACGGTAGGCCTGCTTCGATGAAAGACAGCTAACACAATTGGCGTTAGCTAACGTTAGCTGACTTTTAGCTAACGTTAGCTGACTTTTAGCTAGCGTTAGCTGACTTTAAGCTAGCGTTAGCTGACTTTAAGCTAGCGTTAGCTGACTTTAAGCTAGCGTTAGCTAACAGCAATTGTGTTTTTTAACCTAACAAGCTAAATTAAAAATAGTAGTTTATTTTATTTTTATTTTTATTTTTATTTTGCACAATTCAAACAATAAAACAAACAAACATAACGGAGATAAATGAATATCACAGTGCAGGAAGAGGCAAAAAGCCAACTGGGCTATAGATGAAGCCTCCACCTATATAAAATTAAAGTTTTACAATATTACAGAGAACATAAGCTAGAACCACCACTACGAGTGTTAAGCTAGTCATTCAACTTTGCTCACTTTTGCCCCTCCTTTCCAGAAACCCACCAGATTGAGGCAGTCTATAGGTTTTGTATCAGTGTGAATCCTTCTGATGTGATAGAGGTGGATCCTGTACTGGGTGACCGTGTCCTGTGTGATCCTCTAGGAGCCACAGCTTTGTTTCAGTCTGTAAGTGAAAACTGAGTGAGCTAGCTAACAATGAAATGTCAACTTTTACTGTAAGGTTAACTACACTTGCCTAATTCCTCATTCAGGTATGCTTCCTGGCCATAAAGACACTTTCACTTGTTGAAAAAATACACACGGAGAGTCAGGTATGAATACATGTGGCAACTACAGTTCTTCCTCCCCCACTGGCTTTGACTCTGTAACAACGTGTCCTATGATTGTTTCCTTTGAGGTGAATGTGATTCTGAAGTTGACACATCTGCCTCCATTCCCCGAGTACACGTTGGACCTTTGTAGTTTTCCTCGTGGTCACGGGCCCATGAGGCCTGTCTCCATGGAGGGCCTGGCCATCGCCATGACCAGGGTCACGAAATACACCCAGGGGGCCAGGTTCCTCTGCATCAATGATGAATGTCCGTGCTCTACAGGTACATCTGTTCATCCTAATGTTAAAGATCACAGTCAGTTGGTTGTGTACACACAAAAATGTTATGTGTTTCAAGCAATCAGACAAACTGGCATTCCTAAAAATTGGATTCACATTTGATTTCATTTCTTCGATGCTGACTCTAGGGTTTCACCACATTCGCGTCCATGCACCTGGAGCCACAGAGTCGGCCACCATGAGAAACGACTTCAGCTGCATGATGTGCAGCTCCCCACTGAAAGAGGACGTGAAGTTCAGAGTGTTGGGAGGTGAGAGCGATGCCTCCGAATGTCGCAGGAGATGTCTGAATTCATACACGAGTTCAAAAGGGAACTGTGTGCACTGTTATAATTTACTATCTTTGCAAATGTGTCTTTGTGGAGACAGACAAGCAGCTTGTGGAGCTGATCCACATCAAAGCGCTGGATGCTCTAAGTGCCCATCAGCAAAGCTCACTCAGGTACCAGTCCGTCACCCTGTTTCTCAGAGGTAGGTGTGCATCACACAAGATTACTGAATGTATTGGCTTCATATTGCTCAAATATTGCTCCACTATAATTGCGTAATAATGTCCCCTGTAACAATGTCACACAGCCAACAAATAGATTGATTGCTGTGTAGCCGGATTCAATGTTAGAGGAAACAAAGCTATTAGCCTAATACCTTCCTTACAAACAGCAGTGTGTAATAAGCTATTTATAACGTTCACCTCTGATCAGCTCTTTCAAACAGGACTTGAATTTGTTTGTGTTTTTTGGCATCAAATCACCTTTTAGCTGCAGAACACAAGACAATGACTACTTTCCTGAACAACTTCTGAACTAAACAGCACTAAATCAGTTGATCTCCCTCTGGTGGAGTATGAATAGCCATCCCTGTCACATTTAAGAGATATTTTAAATGCAATGACAGTGGTATATGGAGATAGATGGAGGCTGTCCATCAACCAGTTTGTTTGCATAGCATAGAATCAATGAGACTTTTTTTAGTTTAACTGGGTTAAAAGGCTCAGTTTTCATTTGCGAGTCAACATCTTAAAGGAGGTACTGTACTGTAGATTAATATCCTCAACGTTTCAAAGGGTATTATTTGTTTGTAAAATCATTTCCTCATCCATTATAGTCACGCCCAGTGCTGAATAATGAGGTTGTAATAGCTTATATTTACACACAGTCAGACGTATTGAGGTTTGTCATTAATTTTCTCCGGCTTTTCTAAATGAGGCTCACTTTGGAGCACAAACCTAGTGGGGGAGAGTTCAAATAAATAGATTTTTGGTGCACACACAGTGCCTCATGGTGGGATATTAAGTGTTCCTGTCCCCTCTAATAACATTGTCAAGCCAGCACCCCTGGGAGCCGAGCAAATCTCAGCACATGGATTAACATATTCTGTTGACCCAGTCCTGTAGAGGAACTCAATACACTGGGTTCCCGTTACTAAACATATATGTTAATAAGTGCAAGGAACACTCATTAGCTGGCCGTGCAATTCTTACACAGAGCAATCATTGTTCTGAAGGCCTCGCTCTGTGTTTCTCTTGGCAGTGGTTTGTAGGTGGCATACATGTTTCTTCAATAATCACCAGACAGCACTGAACAACCCCTTTTTCTATTGCTTTGTTTCCCCCTATTCGTACAGATGAGCTGTGCAATTCAATGAGAATCGGTCGGCTCTACCGGGTGTTGGGCATTCCTGCGCATGTGCAGCAGTGCAGCGGCATCACCTGGAGTGTAGAGGCGAACAGCGTCCAACCATGGGAGCCAGAGTGTATGGCAGTAAATTGTCTCATAATATATAAACAGAAACACCACCCAAAGGCGTACTGATAACGTGTGAATCTTAACAAAACATCTGCCGTGTCTCACAACTCTACAGATCCCCATAAAGTCAGCACCAGCTTCCAGGAGCTGTTGAAGGCCACGGCCGGTTTTCGCTGGAGGTTCTCTGCCGTCGTGGCTCACTGCTTCGGGTTGGACGTGGCTCCTCCGGGCCTCTACAACACCCTGAAGCTGAGCTTGTTGCTCAGCTTGGTGCAGAACAGAGCGGACGCAAAAGACACGTTTCACAATTTGGACCTGCTAGCTGTCACCGCTGACACTCTCATACTAGACAGGTAAACGTGGTCCTGCGTGACCCGACTTTGCGACCCCCTTAGGTGATCGTTTTTTAATCGTCCATGTTACCGTGTCTTTGTGCCAGACTAATGACATACAGCCTGAGCTTGGCGCGTCACGGGGTCAGGCACCAGGCCTCGGGGGAGATGTTTGCATCTCTGTCCCGGGACGAACACGGAGCGGGCACTGCTAACATCCATGCCGGCTCCGCCCTGCTAGCCACGGGTGGCATTTGCATGCTGGGAGATCTGGGCTGTTACAAAAAGGAAAGGTTGGATGCCATTCAGTCAGGTAGAGCACCAAAGAGATGAATAATACATCATGGCAGTAGTTGGTTACAATTCATATCATGGATGAATTCTTTTAACACATAAAAAGCCAGTGAACTACTCGTACAATGTTCTTTTCCTCCCTCTGACTCTTTCTCAGTTCTGGAGAGCTGCACAGTGTCCGTGTTCATCCCAGGGAAGAAGTACGGGGAGGATGCTGACCAGCAGCTTTCCTTTCCAGTCCACTGCAGCTTCTGGGCCCTCACAGACTCCACGGACGCCCCTCGGCGGTCTGGGAGGGCAGACTGCGCCATACTGGGAACAGCAGTGGGTTCAATCACAACATGGTGTTCTATTACCTTTGTATAGCTCTCTTTAAAACGTGGTTTGAATGTGCAATACCAGGTCTGCATTGAGGTTTTTTGAGTTAGTGGATGTTACGTTTGTGTGGTGTAAGACTGTGAGTTCACTGTTCCATTTCACTCAACTCAGATGTTTGTATATAGTGCAGACAAAACAGGAAATTGAGACAATTTACTTTGCTTGAAGGAAGTGCCCTGCCCAGACAGCATTACTTACCAGCAGAGCCCTTCTTCTGTTGCATGGAGGTGAAAGGGTGACAGTAGACTGTATAAACTGTCAAATAGAAGTTTCAGATACGGGTTGGATTACGGGTTACTTTCTCACTTAAGGGTTTTGTCTCAGTAAAACCGCACATTAGACATTACGCAGCTTTCCGATGCCCGGTCTCTTCTTTGCGAGCAGGAAATGGGTCCCGTACCAGTTCAGTTGGCAGATGCCTTCGGCCTGGTCATTCAGTGCAGGGATGTGGGGGGAGAGCAGGCCCTGCTGGCCCAGACCGTCCACACCCTCCAGCAGGCGGTGCAGCCGGGGAAACCCCTCTACCCGTCCTGCTGGGAGTTTTCTTCTCAGGACTACCAAGAGGTCAACACATGTTGCATTGCTGTTCTATTATAACAACTCTGCCTTTTATTTAAGTGTTTGTACAGAGACGTTAAAGTGCACTTGCTGCCCTCGATTCTGTGCCTTCCAGCTGGTGGCTCATGCACAGAGCGTGCAGGTGGAGCTCAGCCCCGGAGCAGAGAAAATAATCCACGGTTACTACATGGCCAGCCGTAGAGTCCGAACACAGAGCGTCAAGATGTCTGTGGCCTCTGTCAAACTGCTGTAAGCACTACTGCAAACATGGAATATATGCAGCTTTAATATTCCATCTTCAGTCAGTTACCACAGCCAGAGTGCATGTCAAGCTTGTGAGTCCCTGTCCAGTGTAATGTCACCATCGTCCACTAGGTGGGGAGCTTTCATCCAAACCTCATTCTCAGATGACTATTTTTTATTTGGTTATGACAAATGTTTACAAATCTCTCACCATGTTGACATTTTATTTGGATATGAAGCTATGAAAATAAATCTGTTTTCAACTGTAGGCCAAGCTTTAAATCTCAACATTTACCAGGTTTGATTATTTCAATTATCTGTTGCCATTGTACTTTTTTGAAACAATTTTACAGAGTTCATATTTACATATAAAAAAACTAAACATTGCTACTCATGCAATCTTCAAACGTTACTTTTTCATGTTTTTTGTTGAAGGATCTCATTGGCTGAGGCTCACTGCAAGTTATGTCTGAGGACACAAGTCCTGGAAGAGGACGCTGCGATTGCTGTGCTCCTCTGTGAAAACTCAGTCACTCTCAAGCATGGTACAATATTTATCACCTCCCTCTCAATTTTACCGATAAGTACAGTAATTACATAAACTGAAGTTAGAAATCACATCCTACAGTTTGTACAAATTTAGATACATGTCCCATCCATCTCAATCTTTTAATACTAGGATTATCCAATTTCCAAGTATGGTGTTTGTGTAAAACAGCCAAGTCAATTACATTTAAATTAAAGTTATTTTTTTGCTGGCCCTGGTATGTTAAGCAATATGGAGGGCTTTAGGTAGAATAGTTTCAAACGGTGGTTTGTTTCTTCTTACAGGAGCCTCGGCGCTTGTTGTTCCACCCGACGCAGTATTTCCTGGTGACCTGGGAGACGTGGAGGGTTTGCAGAGGAGAGACGAGACCCTGGATGAGCTCCACCAGAACATCCTACGCTTCATCTACACCTACGCACCAGGAGCAGGCGCATACATCACAGAGGAATAAGACTTCTCAAAGACTAACAATACAGGTAGGCAGCACAAGATTATACCAACCAATTGATGAAATAGCATTTATTTTCATTCCTTCATAGCTGTAGACTGAATCAATACAGGCATACACAGCCACCTTGAATTGAATGCAAATTTTATACACTGTAAAAAAAGAGATATGCAGGGAAACAAACTTAAAAAGATCAAGTCAAGCCATCTTTCTTAAAGAAGTTTTATTAATTAAAAAAATATGGCAAATAACTTTCTTCCAACTGATCCAGCAACTCTTTATTTAACCGTCTGGCACGAGAACTGGCCCCATTACCCTGCAAAGAAAGAAAATGTGTAATTAGTACAAGTGATAGTGATTTGTGGCATCACAACTTTGTCTTTTAGTTCAGTCAAATTCAGATCATTGGGAAGACCGACTAAAACTGAGGCTGCAGCTGGTAATTCAGTAGACACAATCTCACCATTCTATTGTCTGATGGGTAAACGGCAAATGTTCTCTCATCACTATTCCAGCTGCAGGCGTTGCCAATACTCAATGTTTAGAAAATCATTTGAGACTTGGCACAGCCATGTCTGACTTTTGCCAGTTAGTTTAGGAAACTTAAAAAATAACCAGGTTTTTCAATAACGTATTTACACTACAACAATGTTGTCGCAGTGGCATAAACACAACACGACTGCTGTAGCAAGAACTCACCTGATCAGCACAGAATTAAATCAGGTTCATCTCCTGTGACCACAGCATGACTTCTGAAGCAGCTGAAGGGAAAAAGAAACAGGACCTAAATATAAGTACATGCCACTATCCACATCAAATTCACTTCAAAATAGTCCCAACTTATTATACTGGGTTTTCAGTTAGTCACAGTTTCACCATCTTATTGTCTGATGGGTAAACGGCAAATGTGTCAAGTCATCACTATTCCAGCAGCAGGACTGACCTATACCATTAACACCACAACCAAGAATTACCAAGCTTACCTTACGGTCCACTTGGAGCAGACTTGCCATCTTCTATGATATCTGCTGCGATGATCTATGATAAAGAAAAGCCATACATGTCAGAAAGTTGCATATACGGTCTGTTATAGTTGATGTTCATGACAATATTTGTCAAGTCTGTCACAGTAACTTAACCAGACCTCACCAATAATTACTCTAGGGAGCGCACCATTGATTTCCAGCTTGCATGAGTAAGATGTACTGAAGAAATAGTCGATACATCGAGGAGAGATGACTGATCACCCGAAGGTCAAAGGGCGCCTGGCTAACACAGCTTGTGAGCATGGCTAACGTCCTCCGGGTTCAACAGCAGGTCAGGACCTCTGCCATGACTTTAGGTCCTCAGGGGGATCCATGAGGACTTTCCCCAGGGAGTTAATGGGAAGAGGGCAAGTCCCTGACCAGCCATATATGGTCAGGGCTGTAAAAAGCTTGAGTGACACTGAGGGCCGTTCTCTCTTTGCAATTGTCTGAAGGAATGATTAATTGTATTACTTTAGAGAGGAGAGCAGTCTCTACCTAGACCTCGAAACTGGTTTCTTAGTAGCGTTGGGTATGACTGTAAATTACATTTCCAACGTATTTAAGTCACTGATTAGTTAGTTTAATTGCTGCAGGACTTACCTACACATACCGTTAGGGTAAGAAACGTTTTACATGATGTATGCCAATTACACACGTGTGAAATTAACTGCAGCACAGCAGGCCCTGCACACGTCGACATCCAAATCCACGTGTTACAGTTCACCGCTACGCTGCGAGACTAAATAGAACAAATGAACTTGCAATGTCAAACTCGTATTAGTATTGGAGCAATATTATGCAACTTAATCGTAAATTTGGTTTGTGCAACGATGACGACTCCTATGAGTCAACTGTTGAGCTGCGCGGTTTTCTCACACGTGGCCGAGCCATGAGCTAGCTAGCTGTTAGCTAACAAGCAATGGTCGGTTAACAGCTACTTGCGAATCCGTTTCTACGACATGCAATTAACACAGCTGTGGACACTCATCTTAAAGTCATCTTATCACTGCCTTACCTTCGCAATGAAGATGAAACCTGCCGCAGTCGTCTTAGTTTGCAGACGTGAAGCGGCGCGGAGCTGCTGTCTGCTCATGGTTGTGTCGTGAAGGGAAGAGGTGGGACTTCCGGATCCGGCTTCTGTTAAACGCGCCTCGTAGGTCATGTGACTCAGTGCACAGCTGAGCAATGATTATGATGCAGCACCAGCCACTTCATATTTAGTTGTCGCTCATATTTAAGATGCATTTACATTATCTGACATAGAGGCACCAGGTTTGCGACGAATCACGGTGCGCAAATTCAGATTTTTTATTTTCTTCAGCTCCGCAGATAAAACAGACACTAGTGGTCTCTATACATAATAATTTGTATATCCAACTGGCTAGAAATACCAGTTTGTTTCCTCTTAAAGATGTTGTGATCAATATTTTAAGAAGCTGCAACTTAAAATCAACAAGTCAAAGTTAAGCAAACGTCCCCTGAGTGTCAAAAAGAGAACTTAATATCACCTTTACTTGGCCTGAAATGATAAATTGTTAAAACTTTAAATGTGAAGAGGCTAATATACTTAATATTTACGCCTTTAATCTGTACAAATAAATGTAATTATTGTTTGCTTTCTTAAACGGCGACACTATAAACACAGCTGAAACTACCGTATGTACAGTAGCTATATATTTATTATCGTTTCGGCTCTCTAAAGTCAGACGTACTCAGCCAAAAGGCCTGCTGCAGATTCAGTCAGGTGCAGTCATTTTGCTGCAAATAATTCAATTCTTTACTCATCCTTGAATTCAAGCGAGCAGCTGTATTTGATTGACTATTGTCACATAAGTAGAGCAGCTTTTCGATCACAAGAACAACCTTAAATTGCCAGGAAATACCTGAATAACACGGCATAATAATAATAAATATAAATGAACAAATTATGCCACGAGAACATCTATGTGGACTTTCAATAATATATATTTTTTTCCTAGCGACCAAAACACATTTTCTATAATCGGCAACACTTTAGCAGACTGGTCGTCTTTCACTTAAGTCATTTATTCACAAACACATTTACAACCATGCATGTAAAAATAAGAAGGAAGACGAGACGGAGAGCCTCCATTGTCGACTCCCTGACAGACCACTTCACATGACAGATGTTAAGTTATTCACGCATGCATTTAGTGCAAATGTTTCGACTGAAAGTGCACACCTCAAGCATGACGGGCTCGTTACCCCGTGGAAATATCATACCTGCGACATGTGCGGAACTGCACGGCGCTAGGCCAAAGAGGATTAGTCAAAATAACAACAAACATAATGTATGCTTTCTCAAAATTTATACAATACAATTCACGTAATAAATTAATTTACAATGTTTTTTTTCCTATTTGTAGGGCTTTAGTGGAAGTGAAATCAGATCTACAGCCATGATGCCAGAGTAAACAGCATGGACTCGTGCCAATATGAAATGCTTTCATACTAATTATTTAAGCCGAGCATGGGAGGTGGACGATGATGGGCCTTGGTTCTCGGACTCTGAAGGATTTGTGATGTTGAGGAACTGTCCGCTCGCTCCGACGTACAGTCTGGATCGCATGGGCCATTTCTGTAAAGACATTTCATTTGTTAGTATAAAGGCCCAAATCCCCCTCTGAAATAAGAGAAGTTCAGAGGATGATGTTGCATCCTTTGAAATTGTCTTACATCAACTCGGTAACTTTAAATCTTTTGCATTAGAGCAGTGACAATTTAATAAAATACTGAATCATAATTGACAACAATAACAGATTAACATATAACATATCCCACCATTATTATTATTATGACTATTATTATGATTATTGTTACTGACCTTCACTGGGTGCAGGTAGCCATCACCTTTCAAAGAGTGTAACGCGTCTGTTTTTTTTGTGTTCTCTCCCTCCTCGCCTTCCTCTTGTAGTGTTCGAGTCAAATGGGCAATGTAGGTGGTGGCCAGTATCAACACGTCGAGTTTGGACAGCTTGGTGTCCGGCGGCACGGACGGCAAAGTCCTTTGTAGCTCCAGGAACGCGCTTCTCAGGGTTTGCACCCGGCTCCTCTCCCGCGCCGCGTTCGCCGCCGCCGGGCGTCCCCTGCCGCCGAGCCCGCCGGTCTGGAGCCCCCTGGCCCGCTGGAGTTCCCGACGAGGACCGTCCGGACTGGGACTGGAGCTCGGACTGGATGGGGGGCTGTCGTCCACCACCGCCGCCCCGGAGCAACTGCCGCCGTCCATTCGGAGCGTCTGTCTTCCAGTCATCGGGGTGCACTTCACAGACCTGAAGAATTACATCAGAAAACATCGTCACTTCTAGTTCTTGAACCTGACCGTTACGTTTTATTGAGATCAAGTTATGATTAACAAAACGACTTATTTATTATTATTGTCGTCTATACAGCATCCTCTGTTCTCCTACTTCTAAGATAAGTTATTGCCTTTGTATTTATTTATTAAACCATAACTTAAGTTGTCTTGTGCAGTCAATTATTAAAAATTTCTGCTGTCAAATTGCATGTTCCTTCCACTTCAACAGGCATTATTTAAGCTCATCCTCTAACAAGCACAACTTGAAAAAGCAAAATGACAGAACACACAGCTGCCTAAAGTTGCACTAAACACATTAGAATTTGCGCTCATTCAGTGACATACGGACATCTGTCCGGTGTACAAACACATTTGCGCAGTTTCTGACATGGAGTTTACCTCTGGTATCTTTCAAAGGCGCTGTTTTGAAAAACGACATGAAGGCAATCCGAAGAGGGCTTCGATAGGACAGAGGTTTTGCTCTTCAGTCTAGAATAATTCACGTCTTATCCTCACGAAGCGGCGCGTCTGCAGAAAAGGTGTCCTTGAACGCTCATCCAAACACTTCACCTGCGTGCGTAAAAGTCTCCGGAGCCTTTTAACTTACCGGGTACACAAAGCCCCCCCAAAGAAAGTATTTCACTCCGACGTAATTAATCACTCGCCTCATAACACTCCCTCGCAGTGAGGACGGCTCTTTCCCTAACTTATTCCTGTGTGAGGGCAGCAGAGGCTCGTTTTCAACGCCAGAGGCAGGACCCTCTACTCCTCTAACCCCGATATATGTGCCGTGCCACATCTCACTCTAATTGGCTGCGAACCCGACACTGTATTTTCTTTATGAGCCTATCATAAAGTGGCAACGGGGGAAGAAATTCAAAATTACCTCAAAAAGGTGCTGGTCATGGTTTAGAATTAAGGGTTATGCTCTTTTCAAAACGCTATTTGCAATACAGTGTGAAGACAGGCTGACAAGTGTAAGGCGAGATGCAAAACATTTGACTAATTGCCGGGGTGTTTAGAATTGCAAGCTCATTGGAACAGCTAATAAATAAAAGTCCAGCAACGCAATCAACAGGCGCGCATTGAGGAAATTCTTGTGAGACTCCTAAATTAATCACTCTGATTCGCGAGGCTCCAAACGGAGATGTCGGCAAAATTAATGAAAGGAATTATTCATAATATGCATATCCTCGGACTGTTCTTAATAAACATTGTTTTTGTAAGGATGGAGTAACAGCATATTGCTGCTGGCAAACTCATTATGAGGCGAAGGAAAAGAAGGTTAAGTAAGCTTGTTTCCTTAATAACCCCGCATCCTTTCAGGGGTTGCACACCCACGTGGTTCATCCAAACATTTAGTAACAGCGATGATAATTAATACATCCGTATTGTTACTGTATTTGCGATAAAAGAGGAATGAGTCATTCATCCCGATTGTTTGAATAGAAGCTTATGCTGTTAGCTTTATAATCATTTCGATTGTGCCACTCTGCATCTCCTGGTTCACTTATTTGATTAAATGCATGCAGAAGAAAAACGACACACACCACAGAAAATGCAGCACTGACTAGTAGGTGGATAGATTATTTATATCCTCAGACCCCAAAAAAGGTAATTAGAAATAAACCAGCTGTGAGAGTGAGGAAAAGAAATGAGCAGAATTATTCATTGTTTCACTCTTTAATTCCTTAATTCATTTCTAACACTAGCAGATTATTTCCAGCCTATTCATTTATGGAAATGTAGTTTTAAGAGACAGATACAATCAAAATATTTGCCGTAAAATAAAATAACCTAAAATCCATCAAAGATTACTGCAGTGTCTCTGAAGTGCCTGCAGCTATGACATCATAGATGAGTGACAGTGACTCTCCTCTGTCCTGTTAAATGTGTGAGCGTTAAACTAGGCAGCAGCAGGGTTCGTCCTGCATGGGTGGAGATTTTAGTGGACTGGTATAGGTTTGTCTTAAGCATCCACATGACTGCAAGGTGATGAGGCAGCCACGTGAAGGAGATGTCCGCTCGCAGGAATCTTTCATTTTTGTGCCCTTTGATTTAAAAAAAAAAAAAAAGAAGAACAACAAGAATGATCAGATCATGGATCAGAAGATTATTACTTTGTGGACTAAAATTTATCGACAGCACTATTACAACACTGCTAATCAAGAGAACAGGATCACAAAAATAGAAAGTCATTTGTCATTCTTGATTTTGGGAGGAATTGTAAAATAGATTCTGTGGGACGAGTTCAAACCTATTACCAGTCATGATTTGTACATTTCATCATGAGGTACACAAATTCTGTATGACAGCCGGTTAACGCTGCTTAATATCCACAGTTGAATAATTTAGTGAGTAATGAAGTGGAGTGAGACAAAAATGTGCTCGCTCTCTCTCTCTCTCTCTCTCTCTCTCTCTCTCTCTCTCTCTCTCTC